ATTTCAATTTTTGAAAAGATAATAGTAATTATTTTATTATTTATGTATAATATATGATAGGCAACACAGAAAAAGGCTGTTTCTGGACTGTATATGAATATGCTCTAATACTAACTTTATTGGGTTTTGATAAAGATTTTAGCATTTCGAATAATAAAGAATAAGAAAGGAATCATTGAACTTCGTAATAACAGAAATAAGAGAATCAATGGATTTATTTATCAATTTAATTGCATCTGCCTGTGACTTGTGACAGATTAAGCATTTCCACAAGTAGAACGTACACTTTTTTCATTTTTACCCAAGAAATTATTCAAAGAGTACTAGGGAAAATAGTCACACTCTTATTATACTTGCCAATTTAATGGTATCAAAGCGTTCGCTCAATCTTCATATATGAAAATTCTAAACAAGATTTCGGAATTTGAAATGAATCTAAGTGAAGGTTTTTTTCTCAGGGCGCACGAAATAGTTCATTAAAGATAACATGAGAGGATAAAAGACAAAAAATTCACTACAAAAAGCGGGGGATGAGCGATAATTAATGACTAGGGAAGAGCGTGAATACAATGAGAGTGGCTCTAGTAATGTACAAGATGACGGAGGTGAGATTGAGATAATTTAGACTTGTAAAGAGCAAATGCACAGAAGTCGTCCTAGTAAAGAGGTGCAAGAGGCTCGATATCGTGATTATTTTTAGGACAAGTAGAGGTAGGCCGAAGAAGTAATGCAGATCAAGAAATGATTAGACATAATTTGGCACACCCACAAGACATGACCATATATATAAGATGATATAGAGGTCAAGGATTAAGGTAGAAGATTAGTAGGTAATTCTGCGTTGTCGAATTTCCCTTCTCGATAAGACGATAGAATAAGACTTGTGGCTGGTGAAAAAAAATAAACTTGTGTTTTGACCGTGATAAAGTTAGCTCTACTTTAGCCAGCCATCTTTTATTCCACTTTCTTGTACCTTTACAGTGAATTGTTTTTGTGGCAAACATGTTCGAACCACGGGAGATGAAGCATATTTTTCTTTTGCAGATTCCAATCTTGTTTTTTATACAAATATACTTATCCCTGCCAACACAAGTTCTTTCTATATTATACATATTATAACTGTTAAATGATCATATATTATAATCATATATACCCCTAACATTTCTATATTATATATATTAATGTTATAACTCTTCGACTATTTCTTACTATTTTTACTTCATTTTAAGTCATATCACCTGAAAAAGTAAAAAGTATCGTTATAGAGACTACCAAAAAATTTTGTTAGCCTCACTTTCCTCACCATTCTCTCTCAGACCCTATACATTACTTCATCCATGAAATCAATTCATAGATGATCCATTGACAAGTGTAGTTCGATATGTAACTACATTATTGTACTTGAATTCGATAACACAGGGTAAAATTAGGGGTCGTTTGATACAAACATTGATAACACAATAATTAGTAATGCAGGGATTAGTAGTGTAGGGATTATTTTTTGTCAAGTGTTTGGTCATTGCTTCCCACTTAATCTTGTTTTGATTTAAAACTCTACAAAAAAAACTCTTTCCTATTATACCCTTGTGTTATTATGGGATTGTTTATTTCATGTAATTGAGTCAAGGTAGATAACCACCGGACAATATTATTTTTTTGTAGGATTTTCTAATTCATTTAACTAGTTAAGTTAAATATAAACACACACACACACATATATATATAATTTTGAGGTATTATGTACCACTAAGGAGATCCTTGATGACATGGTGTATTTCTAATTTTTTTGTTGGTCAAATATATCTTAAACTTAACATAGATTTACGACTACTTATATTGTTCAATAGCTAAAGCTTATTTAAAAAAATAGTTTAAGTGGTTAATCGACGAGCTACATTGAATAAACTATATATATAGATATATATATATATATATATTAGTGAAATCATTAAAATACTCTAAACAAATTTAGAGAATTAAAAAGAACATTTATAAAATAAAGTAAAGTAACCAAACAATATATTAGATAGACTAAATTTTAATCTATAGACTATTCTAAATAATACCGCCTACCAACGAGTCCTCAAAGGTTAATATGAATGGCATATTCCTAATTAAAGTCAAAATGATGTTGAATGGAAAATGGGCTAATAAACTGGTCTCTTACATAGCACTGAGTGCACTGATGTATATTATACTTGCTCAATCTAAATTACAATTGAGAATTGAATCGTAAATAATTAAATAATGCTAATGGAGAAATCTTAGAATATCATAAGAAGAGAGTAACTAAAATGAGATACTAGAACATATAAGTGAGATGAGAGGATATATAACATACTAAGAATACATATTAAATATCCGAAAAAGAGGATGATGGAAGCAAAAGAAGGAATTTTTGATATTTTTTAAAATAATAAGGAAAATAAAAAAATATATGATAATAAATGATGTGTAGTTAGGTAATTTTTTCTTCTACATTTTCGTTAAGCACCCTTCAAGATGGGCTATATGTGCACTTGCCCAGTAACTTTTAACCAACAAAGCCCACCAATGTTTTCCATGTTTTATTCCAGAAAGTTAGCATGTTAAAAAAGGTCCAAATTGTTTGTACATCTCTTATAAGTTTACTACAAGGACATGTGAGTCTAGACTCCTAAGTTCGACTAAAAAACAAGAAAATGTAAGAAATTAGTCCTATTGTATATTATAATATAATTATAATAATAAGTTATAAGAACAAGAGTACGTATATTATAATCCAAACAAAGAATAGTTATTATCTCAAAATAGTAGTTTAGCTCTCTTCAATCGTGGAGAGTAAGAGCTAACACACTTCATAAAAATTGCATTATTCAATCTGATGGCTGACACAGTATGTACCGTCTCCTTAATAATGTATTAACCCATACTTGGAAATCATTAGCACTCTAAACATATCAATTTAATTGCTTTAAGGAACATTAAACTTTTCTATAAAATAACTCTTGTCTGAATTTTTTCTCAAATCTGCATGCATTTTATCCCCTCAGATTTTATTTATGAAATTACTTTGAATTTATTTGTGTTGTATCCATTGTTTGAATTTTCTTAATTATCACAGTAAAATATTATTCTAAAATGCATATAATATAATATAACATTGAAAATTATTTATTATAATAAAATATAGTTATTATAGTGGATAAGTACCATAGAAAGTTTAAATTTATTTAAGGATATGCGATATGGTTGATCCATTTGGAGGGAAAAAGGAAAAGCATACGTCCTTCAGCTGCGGAACACCAATTATTGGATCACAGGAATTGGCAATGCTAATTGGATAAAACTTGCCAGTTACCACTTAGCCCTTCAACTTTTCTGAATATGCAATCTTAAACCATTGTGTATTCTTTTAAGTTTTTTATGTGTTCTTTAATTGAGTGTAGATAAATAGATATTTAAATTTATATAAAATTAAATAAATAGACACATATGTTTTATATGGTATAATACATATAGTACATCACACCACATATGTCGAGTTGTTTAACTTTATACAAATTTAACCTTTATTAGTGTTCACCAAAATTTGAAGGATAAAAATATCAATTGAGACTACGTTAAATAATATATTCAGGGCATCTTCAACCCTACACTCTATTTTACTCTTCAAATATAGAGTTCTCTGTTTTTTCAGATAACTAACTCCAATCCAATTTTTTATTTTACTCTCTAAAAAGATTTCTCTTCTCTCTCCTCAATATTTCTATTTTTATTTCATTTTCTTATTTCATAATATAAATCCGTTCTTTCTTTTTTCAAAATAATCACCCTATATAATTTTCATGTAATATAAAATTATTATTTTTTAAAAAATCTTTATTTAGTATAAAATTATATTTTATTCTAAATTTTAAAGAACAACTATGAAAAATTAAAAAAAGAAATCAACAAGCACAACTACAATCACAAACACAACAATTCTCTAGACCATACACTATCTTTTTTCCGAATATTGTTAAATCTGAAAACAACCTACCGGATTACTAAATTATTGTTATAATTTTAAAAATCATCATGCTATGTATTGTATTGTTATCTTGTATTTAAATTATTATGTCATGTATTATATTTTTAACTTAAAATTTTCATTTTATCATTTAAATTTTGTGCATTCTTCATAGTGAAAATCAATAATAATATCAAATTATCTCATAAAGTGACGAAAATTGAAAAATATATATTTAAAATATTGTTAATTCAGGATGAAAGTAGTATATACTAAATATTATACATTTTTTAAAATGTTATATTATATTTAAAAAGAATTACAAATAGTAGAAATTTAATTAATAGTCTTATATAAAAAATAATATGTTAGTTACAAATAGTAAAAATAATATTAAAATAATAAAAATGTGAAATAGAGAGGTGAATAGTAGTTCTCCAGATTTGGAAAACTACTATTCACCTCTCTATAAATGGAGAATAGAGAGCTTTTTAGAGAGTGGTTGGAGATCCAATTTTCTATTTTACTTTTCAAATATAGAGAATAAAGAGTAAAATAGAGTAGGGTTGGAGATGGTTGGATGCAACATGTGGTATCTCTTATTTCTTTCATCAATTCAACTTTACACTTGGGAAGATATTTATATCCAATTCAAAATTTAATAATATTAGAAATGTTTTAATTTATATATATTGACATGTAAAATATTTTTGTTTCTTATATTATCATTAATAATTATATAAAATTTAACTTGTGATCTAGAAGCATTAAGAATGAATCAAAGAGTACTAGTGGTGGAAAGCTACCAAAATAAAAAGATGAGCGGTAAAAGGACATGAAATGGCACAAGTGAGCTGTCAATGTAGACCAAATCTTAAGTGGTAACTTAAGTAAATAACCAAAGAAGCAAGCCCTTAAAACTAAAGCATAGAATACCAAACCATTCTTTGAGACTCAGTTTGTTTATCATCTGTCCTACTGAAATCTGACTCTCTCATCACACTGAATCTCTTTCAAAAACATGAATCTCGGACTTTTTCTCTTTTCTTTCATCATCATCATCCTTACCTAAATAAAATCCATTTTACAGCAAAACTTATCTGTGTTTCGCTTCGCCACCATGTATTCCCCTTTCAGAAAAGCTAATGGGGAAACAGGTAGACATGGCAGAAGCAAATCCGTGTGGAATATCTTTGTTTACAGGTCATCATCTTCTAAATTTGATAAAAGGGATCCTCCAAAAGAACTCATCTGTCCCATTTATGGGTGTTTGATGTTTGATCCAGTTGTGGTGTCTACTGGCCAGAGTTTTGAGCGGACTTCTGTTCAAGTTTGTAAGGATTTGGGGTTTAAACCCCAACTTCCAAACGGGTTAAACCCGGATTTCACTAACGTGATACCGAATTTAGCTTTGAGGACGACGATTCTCACCTGGTGTGAAAAGTCAGGGGCGGAGAAGCCGCACCAGCCGGATTATTACGCTGTTGAGTCTGTTGTTCGTGCTTCGATGGCTTCGACTTCTTCTTCTTCGATCTCTAGAGAGGATTCTAGAATACGGAGAGAAGATACTGGAATACGGGTGTCAGAGAGGGATTTGTTCAAGGGGGTAACGGAGAATCCACCTATGCTTCTCTCTCACGCCGCATCGGAAATGAAATCGAGGAATAATCATTTCTACTCTTCTTCGAGCTCTGAAGAATCTGTCATCGCTAACAACTCTCCGCTACTCCCTTTTAAGACTTGTCTCTCCAGCTACTCCTCTTCGTCGTCGCAATCGACTTCGTCGGAGATAATCTCCGGTGAAGTCCCGTCGTCTGCTTCCACGTCATCGGAAGATGATTATTACGTTGTTCAATTTAAGAAATTGGACGTTTATGAACAGGAACAAGCTGTAATTTCACTTAGAAAAAGTACCAGAACCGATGAGGAAGCTAGGGTTTCAGTGTGCACGCCGCGGCTTTTATCGGCTCTCAAGCCGTTACTGGTCTCGAGGTACGCCGGTGTTCAGCCGAACGCCGTCGCCGCATTGGTCAACCTCTCGTTGGCAGAAATCAACAAAGTGAAAATTGTTCGAGCCGGAATTACCTCTCTGCTAATTGATCTTCTCAAAGGCGGCTCGGAGGAGACCAAAGAGCACGCAGCGGGCGCCATATTCAGCTTAGCGCTGGAAGATGACAACAAGACAGCAATTGGAGTATTAGGCGCATTGCAGCCGCTTTTACATGCTCTGAGGTCCGGGACAGAGCGGACTCGTCACGACTCCGCATTAGCCCTTTATCATTTGACCTTAGTGCAGAGTAACCGAGTTAAGCTCATTAAACTCGGAGCTGCAAATACACTCCTGGGATTGCTCAAAGCCAGCGATATAGCGGGTAAAGTAATGCTGGTTGTGTGCAATTTGGCAGCGTGTCAAGAGGGGAAATCAGCATTGCTGGACGCCAATGCAGTGGATGTACTGTTGGGGATACTGAGAAATTGGAATAAATTGGATGAGTCGACTCGGGAGAATTCCGTGGCAGCTCTATACTCACTGAGTCAGGGGAGTTTGAGGTTCAAGAGTATGGCGAAAGAGGCGAAGGCGGGTGAAGTATTGCAAGTGGTGGTGGAGCGAGGAAGCGGACGGGCGAGGGAGAAGGCAAAGAAGATGTTGATCGCTATGCAAAGAAGGGTAAAGGAGGAGTATGACGATGAAGAAGAGGAGGCAAACTGGGAAGGAATACTTGAAGCATGAGTGAGTCAAACTTGGTACTGAGTTCAACTCAACCGAGTTCTGAATTTTGGATTGAGTAGTAAAAAGTGTAATTATCAATTATTTGGGGTTTTGGGACTGTTTATCATGTTCATGGTTATAATTAACTTGTTTGATTTACTGAATTGGGTCCTAACCTTCTTTTCTTTGTTCTAGGTTTGGTTGTTAGTTACTTAAGAATGTAATTTGGACTACAATTGTGATTATTGTGTATATAATTAGGATTTAAGGAGTGAAAATGCAATTTTGGTTTAAAGTTTTGTATTTAGTTGAACAGCAGCAATGAAAGACGACTTGATTAGGACTTTGGTACCAAGTTGCCATGTTAGAAGGAATCAAGAATTGTTTGTGTTTGACAATGTCAGCAAGTTACTAACTAAATAAAGAATGACCAAGTTGACTGTACTTTTCTGCCAAACCAAGCTGTGTGGATTATAATGAAACTTTTTTGGTACTATGTAATTATTATGATTTTTAATTATAGCTTCAACTAGGTTGGACTCTTTATGATTATTTTTTTAGTGGGACATAAGTTTGCCTACCACTTATAATCTAGTGTTTCGTGGACGTAATTCTCCCTATTATTATCCAAATAGAAAAAAGTGTTTGATTTGGATGATAGATCTGTTTTCGGAGTCCTCACCTAAAAGTATATGCTAAATTGCTAGGACCATTAAATTTGTCGTCTTTGTCGCTTCTTTGGACTTAACTATCAAGATTATGTTTGGAAAATTGCCATAAGATGTAGGGTCTGTTTGGAAAGTCACTTGTTAATTGGAATAGGTGTAATTACTAGTGTAGTAATTATCTGCCTAGTAATTATATTGACCTGTTTGGATGTCATAGTATAACTATGCATGTTCTGTTTGGGTGCACAATTGCAATTATAAAATTATAATAAATTTTAAAAATAAAAATTAATTATTTAAAATTTATACTAGACAAATAAGAAACTTTATAAATGACATTAAATTAAATATTTAAGATATATATTCTTTTTTGAAAATATATTAATTAATAAACTATTTTCTGTAACTAATATTATGAAAAAATAATTGATTTATATTTTTTCAAATTAATATATTTCAATTGAATTGATCGTAACAACTAAAAGTATGAGTTTCTACGAATATCGTGAAATGCATGTTTGATAAAAAATAATATATAAATAAAATGTCATAAATTATTAAATGTTTGACAAAAATATAATCTATCAAGTCTAATTAAAGAATGACGTGCAATGTAAATTCAATATTACTAAAACAAATGAAACTGAAAATATAACATAAGTTATAAATTCAAAACAAAAAATTTAACATAATACTCTTATAGCAAATTTCAACATGACAATAAATGTGATTTATTTTTATTTTTTCTTAATAAAGAAAACGTAAGTCTATAACTTACTTAACAATAAATTCTATTTTAATTTAAAAATTAGAATACTAATAAAATTATGCTAATGAGAAAATAAGCATGTCATAAAGAAATAGATAATACGAGAAAATTACATAGAATCACGTAAAGTAAGATTGAGAATAAGAAGATAATAATATAAAAGAAAATAAAAACTTTACAAATTTTTAGAATAATAAAAATAAAAAAAAAACTTAAAATAATAGAAGTAAAAAAAATAGAAAAAAAAATATTAAAAGTAATCAGGTGGTAATTACACTATGTAATTACCAACAATTCACAACCTCTGCCTGTGAATTGTAGAGTGTAATTACTTCATGTCAATTACACCAATTATCTGCTGACTAAGTAATTACTTGTCCTTTCAAACAGAACAAGACAATATAATTACATCAATTACACCAAATCTAATTATCAGGGTATCTTTTCAAACAGGCCATAGTGTTTCTTTATTTGCTTAAGCAAGATTGTGCTAAATTGATGAACAATTTGTTACATTGTAGCTGAAAAAGATAGTGGCCACCCTTTAAATGAATTTTACCAAGTCAGTATTGTACCGGGTGAAAATTAGCTTTCTCACGTGACTAACATTCATTAGTTTTGTCACTTTAAATCTTGAATAGAGCTTTCTTATTGGTTGATGTTTCCTTGTAAGGACATTCTAATTTTAAACATCAAAAGAATACCATATTTACATTCTTGACCTCCAAAATTCCATTGAAGTCTTTATCCTATAGCTTTTATTATTGAAAATCATTATTGGATCTAAGACTCAATGTTCATAATGTTATCGAGGCCAAAAGCTTAACATGAGTCTCTCTCTTATTTGCTGTATTCGTTATTTCCTCTTATTTAATATCACAATATTCAACGGCTAATAATTGAATTTAGTAAGTTAAAGCTAAGACTCATGTCCTTGATATCATGCATATTGAACTGTATTCTGTCATGTAAATAAGTATTAAAAAAATACCATATAATTATTAGTTTATGTACTAGCAAATACATGACTAGAAAGATGGACTTCTCTCTCTCTCTCTCTTTTTCTTTCTAAAAGCATTATGGATATATTCTAAAAAATATTTGTTTGGCTTGTGGTTGCTACTTTTTGTTGTGAGGGGAATAAGTTTATGGAATATAGACTGTGGTTTACTTAAAAGTTTCATTTTGATAGATGAATTAAACACACCAAAAAAAATTATGAAAACTTCGGAAATAATGTAAAAAAATTTTAACTTGAAATATAAAAAAAAATTTCGAACCACATTATTGGAAAGGAGTAGTATGATAATATAGATATAAAAAAATAAAATACAATTGTGATCCCAAATTGTCAATGCAGTACAAGCTAAGGTGCGTGAATGAAGCTTTGGAAGTTTCAAGAAGATCCACGAAAAGATGTCAAGCAAGAAAATTTTAACACAAACTCAATGAACTGAAATTAAAAAGTGGAAAAAGTGTATAACAATATATACGTACCCCACCCCCACTATGTTTTGTCATTAGTATTATTTTTATTTCTCTTTTTTACAGAATTATTTTAGCTTCAATACTCCCTATTTTTCATATTGTACCTAGAATTGAAGGTCCTAGTAATGGATAGTTCTAATTCAATTTCTTCAACCATGTACATTGGAATTGTGACCTCCCTCTTTGACAGTTTCTTGTTATTGAACATTTTAGAGAGTTCTAGTAGTTTAGTTGCTAGATTAAAGATATAATATTTAGACCTAACTCAATTCTATACTACTCATGAGAGGAAGGTTGTCCAAGTTCACATAAATTTATTCCTGAAACAATATACTTCCTTCATTCCTTTTTATATGTCATTCATTTCTATAAATAGTTGGTCCATAATACTTGTCATTTCATAAAATCAATGTATAAATTACCATATTGTTCCCTTTTTACCCTTGTGAGTTATTAACCTTGAAAATATACATTTTGCCAACTTAGAAAAGCTAAGTAAATGATTCATGTTCATTGGTTAAATTAATTAATCAAAATAAATTAATTCATATTCATTGATTGAAAACTCGAGTTCCAAAATAATTAAATAAGGGTAGAAGGATAAAGTTACATCATTTCTTAATGCAAGTGCAAAGTAAAAATGTGATATATAAAAGAGCAACTTTCACATGTAGCAAAGATAAAAATTATATTTGTATGCTATAACTATAGTTTGCATAATTGCGCTCCATAACAAACATAAATATGTACATTTCGCTATACATATACAAAAGAAATCAATTGTATAATTTGTTTCGGTATACATATACAAAAGACCAATTGCATAATTTGTGTTTGTATAAAGTGAGAAAAAGAGAAAGACAAAAGAAAACTGGGTAGGGAAAGATCATATTTGCATAATCATAAGTGTATATGAAGAAAATATATGCATTTATATTTGTATATACAATTTTCTCTCGCTTTATACAAACACAAGCGCAATGTATACATTTGTGTTTGTATAAAGTGAGAGAGGTGAATGAGAGTGCGAGCGAGATCTGGGAGAGGGCAGAGAGGGGAACGAAAATATATGTATATATACAATTTTTTCTCGCTTTATACAAACACAAATACATTTTATACATTTGTGTTTGTATAAAAGCGAGAGAGGCGGAGGAGACTGCCCAGCGAGAACGAGAGTGACGAGCGAGATTTATCAGGAGAGAGGCGAAATAGCAATAGTTTGCTATGAGGTACATTTAAATCAAATTATGATTATAACATTTAATTTGAATTAATAATTTGCTATTATATACAATTTTTCCCCATATAAAAAGGGATGGGGGGAGTAGTTCTTTAACTCACTCTAAAACCTTTTCATGTTCAGGCCCAATTGGAGCAAGAACTGAATGCCCAAACAGAATAAACGTGACTCTGATATCTTATAAAAATATGACATGCGGACTTAACTCAATCTAAACTTTCACCTTGTTGGTGATATTTTCGATTTTCCATCTGGTAATCACAACATCTATTTACCTCTTGCCCTACCCTTTTTATTGAAACCATAATAATATTGCGCTGGGGCCTTTCGCACGGCTTCATTATCAAAGAAAATGACCAAACTGACAGAGACGCGAAAAACCCCAAAGAGGAAAAAACCCGACGGCCATTGTTCTCCTTCTCCATGTCCGCCATCCAAATCGTCGAAAAAGGCTAATGCCACAACTGGTCCTTTCAATGACAGTGAGCCATTCCCCGATTACTCTCAACCCACGCCGGAGGAATGCCGAGCCGTACGGGATGATCTCTTGGCTCTCCATGGTTTCCCCAAAGAATTCATCAAGTACCGCAAACAAAGATCACTCGATCACATTGAATATGAAGAAGATGATACAAGTGGTGCTGAGTCTAGTACAGAGAGTGTATTGGACGGTCTGATAAACACAATTTTGTCCCAGAACACCACCGAAGCTAACTCTCAGAAGGCTTTTGCTTCCCTCAAATCTTCTTTCCCAACCTGGGAATGTGTATGTTTTTTTTGTGAATTAATTATATTTCTTCATATGTGCTTGCTTTGTTATGGCTAAAATTAACTCAAGACGCTATTTTGTTAAGTTTATTGTATTATGTAA